CTTTCCTGCCTAAGACAAAACTAGAACTCACCATCACCGGGTGATTGGCCCAAAGTCACCCAGTTGGCTTTCCTGTCTAAGACAAAACTAGAATTCACCATCACCGGGTGATTGGCCCAAAGTCACCCAGTTGGCTTTCCTGCCTAAGACAAAACTAGAACTCACCATGACCGGGTGATTGGCCCAAAGTCACCCAGTTGGCTTTCCTGCCTAAGACAAAACTAGAATTCACCATCTCTGGGTGATTGGCCCAAAGTCATCCAGCTGGCTTTCCTGTCTAAGACAAAACTAGAACTCACCGTCACCGGGTGGTTGACCCAACGTAACCCAATTGGCTTTCCTGCCTAAGACAAAACTAGAACTCACCGTCACCAGGTGATTGACCCAATGTAACCCAGCTGGCTTTCCTGTCTAAGACAAAACTAGAACTCACCATCACCGGGTGATTGGTCCAAAGTCACCCAGCTGGCTTTCCTACCTAAGACAAAACTAGAACTCACCTTTACCAGGTGATTGGCCCAAAGTTGGATTTCCTGTCTAGGACAAAACTAGAAATCACCGTCTCCTGGTTAAGCCAGCACCTTAACCCCTAAACCAATTTTCTCCATCAGATCTTTGGGTTTTAACCCTCTCCCAGTCTCGCCATCAGACTCTAACCCTGCGGCTTTGCTCCCGGACAGTCCTGCCGTCTCCCATCCCAGGTTCACTACCCCCCTCTTGCTTCCCAATGCCACCCAACACCCCCAACACCCAGCCTACCTCGGCCTCCCCACAGTCACATTCCTCTCCTTCCTCCAAAAATCCGTTGCCGCACTTCTTCCCCACTACCAGGTCTTTGGTGTCCGGCAGGTTGAAAAGGCAGACGCCTCCTCCCTTCTGGAAGTAGCCCTCCAACTGACTGCGGCTGCAGGAGCTGAAGACCCGGGGGAAGGGGTGCCTGGAATTTGGGGAGGGGGTGTGTGTGAGAGAGAGAGAGAGAGAGAGAACAACTCAGAACCCGAAAAGCCGGATTTTGCAGAGTTTCGCTAGCCGCTCCAAATCCGAGACGGCAGGCTCCATTTCTAAACGTTTCAAGAAGGTGGATTTACCGGAAGTCCTCAACTTATGACTACAATTGAGCCCCAAAACTGGTTAAGCAAGGCAGTGGTTAATGTTGTGGCCCACCTGGCAGCAGAATCGGACAGGAGTGAGGAGGTTGGGGAGTGTTGAGGTCATTCCCCGTTAGGAGAATGAGCGCATACAGGGAGACGTATTTGAGAGGAGTGTTTGAATAATACACACACACAGCACACAGATACACTGTACAGTAGATGTAGGTTTTTACTTCCAGAAAGGTTTAAGCAAAGTTCAAAACAAGCAGTCCAAAGTCATTCACAGGTAAAATCAGTCAGTTTTTCAATCCAGGGATAATCCAATAACAAAGTCCAGTGTCAAAAACAGTTCAGTATCAGACTTACATCAAATCCATGAATATCAGTCAATTAGAAGGAACGGCAATACTCTCCAACAGAAGGAAACAGAGACTCACTCACTTCTTCTGAGACTAAGACTAAACAACCCAGGTTTCTGGCTCCATCTTATGGCCGTTAGAGAAACCACACCCAATTACACTTTTAGAATTCTCTTAAAGAGAAAGTATTAAAATGTCTATCCTGGTTTATATATTTCTAACCCAAATACCTGTTAGGTGACTTATATTCCTAACAGGGAGGAACCTGGGCCATTTCTGGAGGCTGAGGAAGGCTCGGACAAGGGCTCTGCATCAGAGGCAGAGATGGGGCCAGGGCAGGCCGGCAGTCATCAGCTGCCTTCGGGCTCAGACAGCAGTGAGGCGGGGAAGCGACTGGACCCACTTCCCAGACTGCACAATGCACAGAGCTGCCAAAAGGAAGGCACAATTAAGAACTCAGCTTCGACGTGGGAGTAAGGCCACAGGTGGACGATGAAAGACCCTCCCATCAGGATTAAAAGAGAAGCAAAAGGGGAGGGGGCTTTTGCAGGAAACAACTCGCTCGTTCGTTCGTTCCAGCCTCGTGAAGATTTGTCTATATAACGCAGCCTTCCCTGTCAGCACTGAGTGTGGAACTATTTACCGGGCAGCGTTCCAGGTCTGAGGTCTGATAAAGCTCTGAGCTAATTAGTCTACCTTCGCAAGCCGTTGGCTGACTGTGAATGAAATAAATTCACATTAATGTAATAAAGGAGGTTTTTGCTGGGAGCTCAGAATTGACCTAGTGCTTTTTGGGGAGGCCTAGGACAGAACAGTTAAGTAAGCTTTGACCCATTTTATGACCAACCTTGTCAGAGTTGCTAAGGGAATGACTGCAGTTGTTCGGGACTCCCCGACTTACAGTCGTTTTTTTAGAGACCATTTCAAAGTTATAAAGGCACTGAAAAAAAAGGGATTTATGGCCATTTTTCACACTTACGACCGTTGCAGCCTCCCCAGGGTCACATGATCAAAATTCAGACGCTTGGCAACGGACCCGTATTTATGACGGTTGCAACATCCCCGGGGTCACGCTATCCGCTTTTGTGACCTTCGGACAAACAAAGTTGATGGGGGGAAGCCCAGATTCGCTTAACGACCGGGTTACTAACTAATTCATTGTGGGGATTCACTTCATCATGGTAGCGGGAAAGGTTGCAAAATGGGACAAAATTCACTCAAGAAAAAGTGTCACTCAACGACAGAAAATTTGGGCCCGATGGCTCCCTTTCACCCCCCTTTCTTGCCCCCATCGTTAAGTGGATCACGGACATTGTTAAGCCAGTAGCCCGGTTGTGAATGCGAATCCAGCTTCCTCGATGGCTTTGCTCATTGGAAGATCGCAAAAAGGGGATCGTGTGACACACACACACATGCCCCGAAAAACCACGACCGTCATAAATACGAGCCAGCCGCCAAGCATCCGAAATTTCAATCACGTGACCCGGGGGCTGCTGCAACAGTCCTAAGCTTTTTTCAGGGCTGTCATAACTTGGAACGGTCACTAAATGAACGGTCGTAAGTCGAGAACTCAAAGGGACGCGGTGGCTCAGGGGCTAAGACGCTGAGCTTGTTGATCGAAAAGGTCGGCAGTTCGAATCCCTAGCGCTGCGTCACGGAGGGAGCTCCCGTTCCTTGTCTCAGCTTCTGCCAACCTGGCAGTTCGAAAGCACGTAAAAAATGCGAATAGAAAAATAGGGACCCCTTTAGTGGGAAGGGAACAGCGGTCTGTGCGCCTTCGGCATTTAGTCCTGCCGGCCACATGACCACGGAGACGTCTCCGGACAGCGCTGGCTCTTCTTCGGCTTTGTAACGGAGACGAGAGCGGTGACCCCTAGAGCTGGAAACGACTAGCACGGATGTCTCCGGACTTCTTGGCATACAGGGTGGGCTCCGGAAAAAAATGGACTGCCAAGATGTTTCTTCCAGCCCTTGTTTTGCACAGTGTCTTTAAATCCCCTGTTTTACACACTTACACACACACACACTTTGTCTTTAACAACTCCTCTTTGCTACTGTACAGCTGTTCGACTCCCGACAGTCCTGCAATTTTCACATAACCTGGTTTTAATTTACATTTTGTTGCATTTTCCTCCGTAGAATCTGGCTGGAAAAGCAGGCGGGAGGATGGGAGACGGGAAATTCTCAGCCCCCCGCCCCCCTCCCAGAACTTAACTGCACCAGGAACTAATTAAAAGCCCTTTCCCCTAATTCAAAGTTTATTGCCTTATCCCTTGTAAACACAAAAGCGTTTTGAAAGGGGCCGTTACGAGGCTGAGCTGCGCATTCTTCTGACAAATAAACCCACATAAAGTAGCTATTTCCCCTATAAGCCAGCTTCCAGATGTGGAGAGGAGGGTAAAACCTACGAAGGGCGGTTTGTGGGGATTTGGGAATGTTTAATTTAATGAAAAGAAGGACCAGGGGTGACATGAGAACAGCTTGAATAGAGGGTTGGACTAGAACAGGGGTCACTAACCTTTTGGACCTCGGGGACCACCAAGCTCATCATTTTAAATCCCGCGGACCAGAGACCCTGGGAAAATCCCCCCAAAAAAGTCTGCAGGAAAATTCCCCACCCCGTTTTCCTACCGATCGATCGTTCTTTATTTGGGATCGCAGGAGACCGTCTCCAGCTCCGTTCTCAGGGGGAAAGAGAGAGAGAAAGGGAGAGACTTTTGGCTTCATGCAAGGAAAGCAGCAGAAGCCGCAGAAGTCTTCCTTTCTCTCCCCCAAACTCTGCCAAAAAAAGAGTCTTTGTGAGACTCGTCGCGTCGGTGCAGCCTCTTGGAGCAGGAGGCCTTGCAGGGTCCCAAAGACTCATTTCTGGCGGAGTTTGGGGGAGAGAAAGAAAGACTTTGACTACTTTCCTTGCGTGCAGCCAAAAGCAGAAGAAGAAAGAAGCGGAAAGAAGCAGCCCGGTGGCCAGGCCAGGCACGTGGGGCAAGTGGGGCAAGTTCCCCCCCTCCACCCTTTCCCCCCCTCCCCTCACTACCTCATGTTGCTCACAATGCAAACAACGCAAGCCTTGTGTTCCCGCGGGCCATATGGGAGGCGCAGCTTTGTGCTCCCGCGCAGCCTGGATTAATTGCTTTGGAGGGTGACATTTCTCTGCGGACCACCAAAAAATTTTCACGGACCACCAGTGCTTCCCGGCCCACTGGTTGGCGACCACTGGACTAGATGACCTCCAGGCTCCCCTTCCGACTCTGTTATTTTGTATCAGGACTAAAAGTGACATGATAGCAGTCTTCCATTATCTGAGGGGCTGCCCCAGAGAAGGGGGGTTCAAATTATTTCCCAAAACACCAGAAGGCAGAGGAAGAAGCAACGGGTGGAAACAAATCAAGGAGCGAAGCAACCTGGAACTAAGGAGGCATTTCTTGACAGGGAGGACAATTAACCAGGGGAACTGCTTGCCACCAGAAGTTGGGGATGCTCCAACACTGGAGGTTTTCAATCCACAGTCTGACTACCTTTTCCACCAAGCAACCCACACCCCTCCGGGGATCCAAGAACAACACTCCCCTTCCCAAATGGGAGACATCCCACACACACACACACCCCGCTTTACCCTGTGGCAGCAGCCATGACGCAGCCGCCCTGCGATGCCGTGGCCTCCACGCAGCAGCCTTCCGGGTCGTGGCTCATGCCGAAATTGTGGCCGATCTCGTGAGCCATGGTGGCCGCTGCTCCGATGGGTAACTCCGAGTGGTCCTGGTTTGGGAGGGGTTGGGTGGGGGTGGGGGAGAGAGAGGGAAAGACTCACCAGCTTGAAGAGAGGAGGGGGCCACTTGGAAAAGGGGAGGGGGGCCGCATTTGATTTCCCAAGCGTCCGCGTCAAGGTCGCATCGGCAGAATTGCGTGGGTGGGCTTTTATTTTGCAATCCAAGTTAAGAGGGTTCTGAAGCAGGTTGGGCTTGATTCTTGCAAGGGGAAGGGGTTGGGAAGACACACACACCCCACACACAAAAAAATCATCCTTGCCAATCCCTCCCCTCGTGCCCACAGCCAGCAGTTCGAGCCTGACCGACTCAAAGATGACTCTGCTTTCCATCTTTACGAGGTCGGTAAAATGAGGACCCCGATTGTTGGGGGCAAGAGGCTGACTCTGTAAATCACTGTAAAACTATTTCTATTCTCTACCTCTCCCTCCTTCCTTCCCTCTGTCCTTCCTTTATACCTCTTTCTTTCTTTCTTCCTTCCTTCTTCCTTTTTCTTTCCTTCCCTCTGTTGTCTCCTTCCTTCCCTTTTCCCCCTTCTTTTTCTCTCCATCTTCTTTCCTCTCCTCCCTCCCTCCTTTTTCTTTCTCCTTTTCTTTCTTCCTTCCTTCCTTCCCTCCTTTTTCTTTCTCCTTTTCTTCCTTCCTTCCTTCCTTCCTTCCCTTTTTCCTTCTTTTTCTTTCTCCTGCTCCCTATTTCCCTTCTTTTTCTCTCCCTCTTTTTCCTCTCCTCCCTCCCTCCTTTTTCTTTCTCCTTTCCTTCCTTCCTTCCTTCCCTTTTTCTTTCTCCTTTTCTTCCTTCCCTTTTTTCCCTTCTTTTTCTTTCTCCTGCTCCCTCCATCTCTTATTTCTCCCTTCTTTTTTTCTCCTTTTCCCCCCTCTCCTTCCTCCCTCCCTTCCTTCTTTTTCTTTCTCCTTTTTTTTCTTTCTTTTCCTCTTCCTTCCTTTCCCTCTCTTGGTGGTGGCGCGGTGGTTAGAATGCTGCCTTGCCGGCAAAACTCTTCCCGCTGCCAGGAGTTCGATCCTGACCGGTTCAAAGTTGGCTCAGGACCTCGATTGTCGGGATGGGGGGGCAGGGAATATGCAAATCCATGTCTGGGAATCGGTCCACAGGTCTTAAAGTGACCACGATTGGGCCACCCCTGGCCTCTGTAGAAACGCTCCCTTGTGGCCTTCCCAGGAATAACAAAAATGCGTTGCAAGCAAAGAGCGTTTTTGTCCCATGTCATTGATCAGGTCAGCAAGACGAAAGGACCAGGGGGGGTGGAGCCATCTTCCTCTTACCATGCTCACGCCCCCAGAGTTCTCTGCACTGCACATGCCCTCCAGGGGAGCCATTCCGATGGTGGTGCCTCTAAAGGTGATCCCACTGCAAAGAGTCGTGAGAATAAGGACGGGGGACGGAGCAAAGAATATTGGTTATAGTCCCTTCCTTCCTTCTTCCCTCCTTCCCATCTCTCCTTCCTTCCTTCCTCCCTCCCTCTTGTGCATCCCGATTCCTTCTCTTCCTCCCCTTAATCCTGCTCTGTCCCCTTCTCTATTTACCTTCCTTCCTCCCTTCCTTCCCTGCCTCCTGATTCCTTCCTTCTTATCTTCCTTCTGTGGCTCCTTTGTCCTTTCTTCCTCCTGTTCCCCTCATCCATCCATCCATCCTCCCCATTCATTCCTCCCTCCCTCCCTTCTCTCCATTCCTGCTTCCTTCCCTTTCCTCCATACTGATTCCTTCCTTATCTTCCTTCCCTTCCTCCGGTCCTTCCTTCCTTCTCTATTTACCTCCCTCCCTCCCATCCACCCATCTTTCCCTTCCTTCCCTCTCTCCCTCTTCCCTGTTGCCTTCCCTCATTTCATCCTGATTCCTTCTTTCCATATCTATCTATTTATCCATCCATCAGTCTGTCTGTTGTCCATCCATCCATCATCTATCATCTATTTATTCTACCTATCTATCTATCTCTATCTATCCATCCATCCATCCATCTCTGTCCGTCCATCCATCCATCATATCTATCTATCAATCATCTATCCATCCATCTCTATCCATCTATCCATCCATCTATCCATTCATCCATCCATCCACCTCTGTCCCTCTATCTATTTATCCATGATCGATCTATCTCTATCTATCTATCTAATCTATCTATCTATCTATCTATCTATCTATCTATCTATCTATCTATCTATCTATCTCTATCTCACTATCTATCTCACTATATATCTCACTATCTATCTATCTATCTATCCATCTATCTCTATCCATCCATCCATCTCTGTCAGTCTATGCATTCATTCATCATATCTATCTATCTATCTATCTATCTATCTCTATCTATCTATCTATCTATCTATCTATCTATCTATCTCTATCCATTCATCCATCCATCTCTGTCTACCATCCATCATACCTATCTATCTATTTATCTATCATCTATCTATCTCTATTCATCCATCCATCTCTTGTCAGTCTATCCATTCATTCATCATATCTATCTATCTGTATCTATCTATCTATCTATCTATCTATCTATCTATCTATCTATCTATCTATCTATCTATCTATCATCTATCTATCTATCTATCTCTATCTCACTATCTCACTATCTCACTATCTATCTATCTATCTATCTATCTATCTATCTATCTATCTCTATTCATCCATCCATCTGTCAGTCTATCCATTCATCCATCATATCTATCTATCTATCTATCTATCTATCTATCTATCTATCTATCTATCTATCTCTATCCATCTATCTATCCATCCACCCACCCACCCTATCAGAGGGGAGCATAAACAGCCACCGTTAGGGCAGAGAAGTAAAAAAAAACACCAAGATGGCGCCCACTGCAGCCCTGGCCCTTCCCCACAAGCCCTGGGCCGCCTTCTTGACTCCCAGGGAGCCCCGAGGAGGGACTCACGTGAGGAGCTGAGCGTTGTCGTGTTTCTTGCGGGCCCGCAGCGTCTTCTTCCACTGGAGAAAGGAGACGAGGGTGGCGTGGGAGTCCTCGCTCACCGTGCACTTGTCTTGGTCCGTCCAGACTTCCAGGCCAATCAGGGCCACTTTGATGTTCAGGGACCTGTAGAACTGAGAGGGAGAAGCTGGAAGGAGTCGGTGACTGGGAGGAACAATTGGGGGAGGGGAAGGAGCTCCCGATTCCCTAGCACAGTGGTGGCTAAACTTTTGGGGCTCCTGTGCCAAAAAATTGTGTGCGCGCTTGCACGCTCGCACTCCCGTGCCAGAATCCAGAAGGCAATGTGCACAGCACCTACGCATGCACGCATAATTCCCACCCACCCACTCCACCCCCCCTACCTGCACTGCGCCACACAGCTGATTTTCAGCTGGTTTGAGGTGTTTTTCAGCCACCCA